GTGCATGGATTACACATAATGTTTATACATAAATATTCAAAATTAAGATATATTTATATTTTTGAAAATGTGCTATCAACTTTAATGCACCTAAACGATACCACTAAAAGATCTATATTTTTTTGGATTTTTTAAATTTCTCAGTAAATTGAGAACCACCTTCATTTCTGAAATCTGATAAAAATATGAACTACATTCAGGTTGAGATTTAAATTAATGATGTTTGACTGAATGGGCATTGTATTATGTTAATGACTCGAGACTCCTTCGACGTAACCCCAACATACACACAAACTTTCCTTTTATGTTAATTATTAAGTATGACAAAGCGATTTCGAGGGAAGTTCTCAAGAAATGAAAATGTAAAAGAGATGTTGCAAAGTTGCGATGGAACATGTAACTTTTAAATAAAATATGTATAGATCCTATACATGGTATCAGCGCAAACTTTTCTTAATACTGAATAATTACTCGTAGCTTCATAAATTATTGAACATTTTGGAAATTTTGATAGATGTTTGTTAACACATAGTGTTTGTGCCGTGTTTGTGTACAGAATTCCTTGTGTGAGCGTTCAATCCGAACATTGTAGTTTACAAATAAGAAATAACATATTTTTTTTCATTATTGCACCCTCAATGTACATAAAATTAATCAAAATGTAAGGCCTAGTAGAAGTTAAAAATATTAAAAAAAAACGCTATTTATCAGCTGATGTGATAGTAAGCTTGGATTTCGTAACTACTGACTTATTTACTATTAAAGACGTGATTTGTGTGCAACTTTTCTCACGAGTTTAATGATATTCAAATTGTAGGGGATCTAAATAGAGCACCAGGGACTTCCTTTATAGGGTATACCTGCTTCCCCGGCTATTAGTACCCGAGACGGCGTGCGGTTTTAGTCGGTTCGAGTCTGACATGCCGAGTGGTATCCGAGGGGATTTCCGCACGGAAAAAAAAAAAAAAAAAAAAAAAGGGGGATCTAAATAGAGATAACAGTATGATCATAGTTACATTTCATAGAGAAAATGGAACCATAATTAGTTGCTACTAAAATATAATACTAAATAGAACCAAAGTATCTTATGTCAGAATAAAATAGTATTCATATTTGGTGTCAATATAGGACATACATAACTAAAGTATTTACCTGTTATTTTTTTCTTTTACTTTGTCTAAAAGAAAAGCTTTAGAAGTTCTATGTTATGTTTTTATCTAAAGAATTATGTGATGGTTATACACTAAGGATTATCTAAAAATTAAGCAATTGAGGCGTAAAGGTGCTTTGCATAAAAGTTATTGAAATGAAGACACATGTGTGGTATCTAAGCAACTAATACAGTTGTTAACCAAGCAAAATGGTCGTCTTATGTATGTTAAGTTGCTGAAATAAATAACAACGCTGTTTTTTTAATTTATTTATTCAGCTTAATAATGAGGGTTAAAGTAGGAAATTGCCATTTGGATAGTAAAATGCCGTATTTGGTTTAAACGTAATGACAAATAAAAGCGTAATGGAAACTTCGACCTTCCTACAATATTGACTTATTTGCATCAAATCTCTCTCTTTCTCAATTGAATTTGCAAAAAAAATTGAAAAATAGGTGCCTCAAGATTTGACTGATCTGCAGAACACGTTATAATGCAATGCCACAAATAGTTTTACAGAATTTACAAGATTAAATCTACCAGAGCCCGAATATAAGGTAGGATATTGTTGCCTAACCTTGCTCCAACGGACTACAATTTAAAAAAAAAAAAAAACTTCAGAGAAAGCAGTACAAAATGCTTTCACACAGTTTGTCGAATCTAGATCCCCAGGGTTCTATAGGAAAGGTATAAATGAAATTCCGTTTAGATGGCAACCATGTATAGATAATGAGGGTAAATATTTTTATTAAATAAACATGTTACATCTTAGAAAAAAACGATTTTCAATTTTTCAGTACAAATCGGCAATTTTATACTTTAACCCCAAATATTTTTAATAGTAATTTTATTATATAAAGAGAAGGAAAGCTTGACACAATGTCAACGTGACCAACTCTATACCAACTCATCTAGCCAGCGTGATATAGTAGCCAAAACCTCCTGACTATTAAAGTCGGTTTATGAGGGTCGTAGGCTGCCATTTTTAAATAAAAGAAATATTTTGTTTTTTTTTTAATAGTTTTATTTGTGTATCTTCAATTTTGTATATGTTGACCGAGCTTTCCCAAGACATAATACTCAAAATATATGTACATATAGGGAAATTCGGGACCGCGGTACCGGTCCTGAAAGCCCAACGACTCTTTATGATTGAATATGATGATGCATTTTATTATAGTAATAGTATAGTAATTTTTGCTTAGACAGATTAATAACTAGGAAAATTTGACTGTTACTGGTGCTCATATTGTCTTAAAATAATTAAAAAAAATATATTCTAAAACTTTCTATGCTTTAGATAAACTTCAGATATCATAGATTTGATAAACTCGAGAGTTACTTTGTCCTGTATCAGCGCAAATAAAGGGCAATGGAATTCCAGAATTTCCAGAAAGACATTCAGATTAAAAAGTCATTAATTTATTAAAATTGATAAAATTAAAAAAAAAGCAAATGAAATAGATTTACACGTACAGAATACAATGCCACAAATAGTTTAACAGAATATAGAAGATTAAATCTACCAGAGCCCGAATATAACGTGGGATATTGTTGCCTAACATTTGGTCGTTAAAGTTGCAGAATGGTATAATGTTATGTGTATGAATGAATTCATGAATAAGCCCATTTTCCGGAGACGTGAGGTGACATTGTACCGAAGTCACGCGTGGGTCGGTAGCGACAGGGAATAGTTACATAAAGCACGATGACCGTTGCTTGCTCACTTCGGGCCGTACCTACTCGTGACAGGTGTCGGCGACACATGCATTGTTTGGTGATTGTGGTTGCGGTGCTGTCAGTAGTAGCTGTAAAACTATTGGAGTACATTGTGATTTTATATTTCTTACACACCATTGTGATTGGGTCTTATTATTCATAAATACCCGTGAAGCTAACTTTGTATCGTCTTTGTACAGTTTGAGAATTTGTTTCGGCAAACCAAAAACATGTCCATAAAATTTAAACTTATCTGAAGAGAATTGCTAGCCTTTCGAAAATAAAACGACCTTCATATATAAACCGTCCTTAAGCCTTGTGCTTTTATTACCAATTTAAAAGCGTTTAAAATGACAGAACGAGATACGGTCGATGTTTTTTATAGTCTGTAACAAATGAACATCGCTTATTTATCGTGACTTATTTCGGTAAACGAAATACAACGATCTTACGACTAGTAACGTAGTAAGCAAAAGCCGATACTTATCCATGAGCCTGGATGATATTACGCCTCCGTCCGCACACGCCCTTCCCATTTGTTCAAATGTTCGTATTTATCTCTCCTCCTCTCTTTGATGCATAAAATAATATTATACCTCTTCGTAGCCTTCACTTAATGTATCCATTTGGGTTTTTAACAGCTTATTGCTTTTATATAAGTTTGATTGTTATTGAAAGAGATATAAATGAATCGCAATTCCTAATTTACGAGTATAACATCTGATGTTTACGTCTTTTTTATATATTGTCCTTGTTATATATATTTTCACTTTTTGAGCAGGAGGTGTTCTAAATTATAAAAGACAAGTACAGAAACTATATAAAATATCAGTGCTTTATTGAAAATTTTCCTACTGCTGTAATCAATTATTACAGTTATGTAGGTATATTTATTTCATTGGAGATTAAGTTTTACTGTTGATACACGTCACTCTTTTTTTTTCATAAATACATGTTTCTTTGTAATGCATTATGTTCCTTACATTCATTATTTGATGTTTTAATGATCATTACGTGCAGTTTAGATAATTAGAATCCCAAAAACGCTATATAAATAACTAAACTACGATTACATGTATCAGCTGTTTCATAGAAAAATCTTAAACAGAAAGATAAAATCAAGAACAAGCAGGCTTCATATTCACCTTACATTATTTTAAGTGGTAAATCGCATTTAGGAACGCTAGCTATAGTTTACTAAGTGTGATTGTATGTTTAGTTAATATTCATATAACGTTTAGTATGTTGCAAAGTTATAAAAGTGATACGGAAAGAAGGTTTCAAAGTAACCAATTATGAAAAGCTTCTTGGCTTTGCTTTTCAACAAGAGATTCTCTTTTCATTGATCAGGTAGTTGGCGTTGCAACTTTTTACTTTCAAACCTGACTGTTAACATTTTTGAATCTAAAAGTAGCAATAATAAATCACTAAGAACATAAACACGTAAGTCGAACGATAAATAACTTAATTATACAAAATTTCATCAGAAAACCAAAACTTTTGTCATTTCATTATTATTCGGTACTATCAGTAGTGCGGAAATAATAAATTGGTCAAATACTCTGTTAAGTACTTCGCAATTGAAGTGATTTGATTTCAATTCGCATTCATTAAATTTGGGTGATGTATTTAATATTATATTGGACGGACTAATTTCTAATATTGCAAGTTTTAGACAGTGTGATAGTGAAGTATTCTATATCTCTGAAAGCATTGTTAGCAAAAAACTGATATTAATTTTGTCATAATGTATAACAACATTAACTGACTCTAAAACTAATTATGAGGTTTTATTAACACAACGGGCACTGTTTATAGAATTTAAGTTATTACCACAACAAAAGCCTCATGAGGATTATAGCCACGAGAAAGAGGATTGAATAAATATCGAAAGAAATACAATTCCTTTTATGCGAATGATTTATGGAATCTGATTTGAAATACAGAAGGTGGAGGGAGACATAGGGGCGCCCGGCTACCGTACTGACATGGGGAAGGTGCGAATGGGACATTTACTAGTTATACATCCATTTCTAACACCTATATGCATTTTCATAGCGCCAGATATTTTAATCGAATTGGGTCGTCTGCCTAAGGCATTGAAGCAATTCACATCTATTTAAATTCCGAATGCGGCGCGCAAGTGCAAGGTATGCATTCACACTGCACCTCGTCTTCGATGTAGGTCAGTGTAGACTGATTTTGAATATTAAAGGCGCGTGTTTAAATGTGTTGTCACAGGAAGATAATAGAGGCGGCAGGAGACGTTGTCTAACTAAAACTTACAACGTCGATGAGCTGGCTGAGTTTAAGTTTGATGCAGACTCGCAGCACATCTGTGGTGTTGACGACGGGCCGAACAAGTTTGTTGTAGTTGGAGAGGAGGTCATCGTAGAGCCGTTTCGCGTCGGGATTGCCGGCGGTGGCGGCGCGGAGCAGGCAGCAGGCCGCCAGCCACCACACGAGCGCGGCCATCAGCTCACGGGCTTGGCCATCGTTACGTAAAGTCTCGTGACGAGGGCGTTTGGCCCGGGCGCGGCGCGACGCTTACTGCCGCCCTGCGCGCCGCAAACACCCCCGCGCGTGCCCTCGCCGTTCCGCCACACAATAACACGCAGATGCGACACTTTGCTGCACATTCAGCTGATTATAATATGAATATTTAAATTAATTAAACATTGAATACTTATTACAATATGGTTTCTTTTGGTATATTCTTCTAATAATCCTTGTTTGATTTTCGATAAGAGAGAAAAAAAGCCTAAATAAATAAGCCTAACTGTGTAGTTTTAATTCTAACTGCTTAAAAAAATGTTCAAAAAAGATATTAGATTTTCCTGGCTTTCGGTATTATATTTTACTGCCTAATTATTAGTACTATATGACATAACTGACACATAAGTAGCAAAAAGTCAAAAGTTTTAAACACATTTGTTAATTTAAATTAACAAACATCTGTTAATTTTTCTTATATATATTTTTTACATTTTCTATCTCTAAAAGGCGAAATGCCTATTAGTTAAGATCTAAATTGGAAAACTTAACGACTAGTTAATTATTTTCCGTTCGAATAATATGTCACACATTATTTTAATTAGGCACATTTGCACACTGGTCGCTGTTTACTCTATGATATTTAGCTTATTTACATAATATATAGTTACAATGACAGTGTAAATAATGAATGGTGTATCTATACATTCTCACAGTCTCTAACCCTGTTCATTCTGGTTGATCTGTGCCCGTATCCCGCAGCAGCCTCCCTCTATAAATACGCCAGTCGATAGCGCATCGCATTCATCTGACCAATGTTTCAAATGCTTACAATATAAACATTTAACACTGTAATCAGAAACTAACCCTTTTTTTGTTGACGGGTGGAAAATCTCTTCGGATTTCCTGCTCCTCGGGGACTCAGGAGCATGGAGAATGTGGTGTTTACTAAAAACTACCCTGACAGCCGGACTTAGGCGCCCTACCCTGAGGAGGACCCGGACCATGTTATTTCAGGTCCCCCCGGATCGACGCCGCGCCCAACGGATCGCGCGAGTCTAGTCATAGACCCTCGCGTCCATATCCGCCAGAATTTCAAAAGGCAGGAAACGTGCTAGGACTGTCGCCGCCTCTGATGAAATGATGCGGTATCCCCGTACGATCCAAATAGCCGCTACCCGCTGCGCTTAGTTGAGCTTAGCTCGGCAGCGGGAGGAGGCCGTTAGGCGCTTGTCCCATATCCAAGTAGAGGGCCATGGATCGTATCACCGCACAGTAGAGGCGGCGAACTACCACCCGCGAACCCCCTAGATTAGGCAACTGCCTTTGTAGGGAGTCTGCCACCCCGCGTACTCGGCGGATCATCCACTCGAAACGCACGTCCAGGGTGAGGCCGGGGTATTTAATGTGCCGGCTGACCTCGACCTCAGTTCCCTCGACTCTAATGGGCGATCGGGTAGGAACAACATCTCTGCGTTTCATTTGGAACCACAAGGCTTCCGTTTTATGAGTTGCAACCCTCAGAGCCAGACCGCTGATCTTTAGGACGACATAAGCCACCCCTAACTCGGCGAGTTCCAGGTCCTCCTGGTAGCAATACCCCCAAGCCAGTACCAGACTGTCGTCCACATAGCAGACGACATTCAATCCTAGGGGAAGACTGGTCCTCAGTACCGCATCATACGCGAGGTTAAACAGAAGGGGTCACCCTGTGGAACCCCACATGTGACCTCCCTTCAGCATTTTTCGCCGTCCCGATACGATATGGACCTGTCGCGGAGATAAACCCCGATGATGTCCCGCAAGTAGGGAGGCAACTGGTGATACACCAGTCCCTAATGGTCCCTAATCGCGAACTACGGGAGGGAGTTAAATGCGTTGACTATGTCAAGGCTGACAACCAACGCCACTCCCCCCTGGCAGACAACCTCTTCCGACAACCTCTGTCGGAAGATAAACTGGTTTTCTGAAAATAAGAAACTAACCTAGATAACATACATAGACACACCTAATGGACTGTCTGTAGCACTTATCACATTTTAAAGCACTGTACTACCACTTAAGTAACTTGGTGCAATTCTTCTTGGTGATTATATTAATTATTTATTTATTTATTACCGATTCAATTTACAATAGATTTAAATTTACGAAAACAGAAATAATCTGTGTATATTCGGGCTTTATGAAAAGCTTAATTTCCCCCAACCATTGTTTCGAAATTAATTAATCTGTAACCATAATTTTACGATGGAAATAAAAATATGTAGACCGTGTGCGTTCCGTGTACGTGGTAAAATGGAATATGATTTTGTACATGCTTAATGCTTTATGAGCGCTGGGGTGAGTTTAAAAGTTGAACAAACTAACAGGGTTTGTAGGTACAATGATTTCTAGGACACAGTCGCGTATGCGGCAAAGTATAAATTTGCTTTTCATTTATGTAAAGCGACACGTATGAATATTCTAGTTTTACATTTGCATCATTTTATTTAATAATATTTCAGATGTAATTTTTAATAGTTACTCTCGTAACGCGCGTCTCGAACCAACCTGGCCTGCTTCTGCTAGGGTGACAGATGGCCTCACCTACCACGCCCCTACCTACCAGGCCTGCGCTTATGGAGGACGGATATCATTCTGCGAGTCGTCTGCGGTACCTTTTTTTTTTTTTTTTTTTTTTTTCCGTGCGGAAATCCCCTCGGATACCACCTGTCGGTGGCATGTCGGACTCGAACCGACTAAAACCGCACGCCTTCGCCGGGTACTAATAGCCGGGGAACCAGGTATACCCTAGAAAGGAAGGCCCTGGTGCCCCGACATACCTCGGGTCATCTACAGACGAGTAGACGACCCCCGCCCCGTGTGGGAACCCCATGTTCCCTGTGCTCCCTGAAAGCGAGCGCGCTTCGCAACGCGCTCGCCGCCACCCCGGCCTGCTTCTGCTAGGGTGACAGATGGCCTCACCTGTCACCCCCAGGCCTGCGCTTATGGAGGACGGAGGTCGTTCTGCGACCTCCGGCGCCTGAGTCGCCTGCGCTGCCTGGCCCGTGCCCGGGCCTGGCGGGCCGGGAGAGTTCTAAACCTCTCCCGGTCCCGCTCCGCCGTCTCCTTCGCGAGCATAACTTGCTCGCAGAAGGAGACGGCAGAGTTCCACGCACTCTCGCTCCGCACGATAGCCGCAATCAGGCTATCGAGCGAGAGAACTCCCACTCCGATGGCCGCCACGAGGTCTCGCCTCTGCTCAACCCACGCCGGGCACTCTGCCAGCGTGTGGAGAGCCGTGTCCACGGTCTGGCCATCGCAGTGGTGGCACTCAGGCGTTGGCTCCTTGCGGATCAGACACAGGTGATCTCCGAAACATCCCTTCCCAGTGATCACCTGCGTCAATCGGTATGAGAGGGTCCCGTGACGCCTCTCGAGCCAATCCTCCATAACGGGTCTTACCGCCGCAATGACGGCGTGCCCGGCGCTCGGTTGCCCGAGTCGTTCCCTCCACTCCCCTATGATGACCTGGCGGAGTTGGGATTTCCGGTCATCGATTTCTCGAATCTCGGGGTATCGACCCAACTCCTGCGCCTCCTTGCGCCACTGATACAGTGCTGCAAGGGCTCTCGCCTCCAGGTCCCACGGTGGAGTTCCGGCCAGGAGACTCGCCGCCTCGAAGGAGATCGTGCGGTACCCCCTTATGATCCTGATGGCCAGCATTCGCTGCGGTCGCCGCAGTATCGCGACGTTGCTGGCCTTCAGGGCCCCCGCCCATACTGGGCACCCGTAAAGGGCCATGGACCGCACAACCCCCGAGTAGAGTCTCCGGCAGGAGTCATCGGGTCCCTTCATGTTGGGCAGCAGCCGCGCCAACGCACGCGCTGCCCCAACCAACTTGGGGACCAGACCTCGGAAATGATATCCGAAGTCCCATCGGCCATCGAGTACGAGCCCCAGATACCTGATCGAGGGCTCGATGCCGATGCGAGTGCCTCCTACCGTGAGGCTAGATCCCTCAGGCGGCTTCCTCCGAAGCCCGTGGAAGAACAGGGCCTCGGACTTGTGCAGAGCCACCTCGAGACCCAGCCGCCGGATACGCTCAACGACTTGGGCAACCCCGGCCGTGGCCCTCAGGGTTGCCTCGTGGTGCGTCTTGCCGCGCGCCGTCACGAGTGTGTCGTCCGCGTAGCACACGACGGCGACACCATCCAAGAAGGCACCACGAAGCACCCAGTCGTAGCCGATGTTCCACAAGAGTGGCCCTAACACCGACCCCTGCGGAACACCGCACGACATTTCACGCCTACCGAGACCGGTCCTACTGGGGTAGACGACGGCTCTCTCCGACAAATATGCCCCGACTATGCGGCGGAGGTAGAGAGGCACTTCGTGATACACGAGCGCCTCCCTGATGCAGCTCCAGGGCATAGTGTTGAACGCGTTGGCGATGTCCAAGGACACCGCCAACACCACTTCGCCCCGGGAGACTGCTTCCTCCGCCAGAGCCTTCACGCGCATGATCGCATCCACGGTGGAGCGCCCCTGACGGAAACCGTACTGGTTGTCCGCCAGATCCGGCCCAACCATCACGAGATGCTTGACGAGGCGCCTTGCAATCACTCTTTCAAAGAGCTTGCACACCTCGTCAAGCAACACTATGGGCCGGTAGGCGGACGGTGAGTCCGCCGGGCGCCCCTCCTTTCGGATGAGGACCAGTTTCCCCGTCCTCCACAATTTCGGAAACTGGCCCCGCTCTAGGCATGCGCTGAAGAACCCTCGCAGTCGGGGCTCGAGAGCCTCGTCGACTAAGGCCAGGACCCACGCTCGGCCAGGAATGCCATCGGGTCCCGGGGCGGTGTTTTTGGCTTTAAGCCGTAACACCGCCACCCTTAGTTCCGCCCCAGTGACCTCAGGCACGTCGTCGTCATCCACGTTAGGCGCCTCAAGCGCCGGAGGCGGAGCCATCTGTGGTGGAGTATGCTCCACCACTCGCGTTGGGAACAGGGAGCCAACGACCCTCTCAAGCA